TCATGTTGATAGTTTTAGGATTCATTAGTTTTTCCTTAATTTATGGTACTTTATATCTATAATGTTATGTTTTCCCCCAGTTCCATACTTCCTACTCAATGTAGACGTGCAGTAGACAGTACTGTTAATCTTTATTTTCAGCCACATTTATTAGACGGAAATAGTTGTTTTGGATCTGAAAAATAGTTCTAATGCTAGGGAATAATGCAGTAGACACTTCTAGATCAGCCATTTTAAAAACAGACTGCGGATAGATAAAATTTTTCTAGTTTAACCAATGTGCCTTTGAGCTCTTTGAAATTCTAAGAGTAAGTGTAAGTGTTCTAGACTACTTAATATTAAAAAAAAAAATCTATCTCAGGCCTTGATTGAAACCCCAGAAAAAATGCATTTGCTATCACACATTTTTACATAACATTGATATAGTTATCCTAACTTTTATGTAGCTGGTTAAAGAAAGTGTAGATTTGCCAATAATGTGAAGAAAAAGATGACTGTAGTTTCAAAATGTATCATAAATGTACCAAACTTTGTTTTATAAGTTAAGTTGCATGTTTAAAATTATAAACGTTTGACTAGACAGAAGTATTTTGAAATATATTTATATCTGTATGATTTGCTGGTTTTATCATTGCCATTTATTTAGGTTTAAATTTGCTTCATTTATATTTAAATACATAATTACTACTTGAAATATCTGTTGTATTTATTTTCCCGTTATGAAATATCTTATGTTGTAAAAACTTCAAATATCTATACAGTTAATTTTATCATGGCTTAATACTGTTATAATAACTCAAACTAAAAATTATGATGTAATTCAATTTTGTTTGCTAGTTTTAAGTTACTAATGTCACAATCTTGGATTTATCAAAGATGAGTTTTAAATATAATGAACACTATCCAAAAACACAGTTTTGATAGTTTTCAACTTCACTAGCCAGCATAATCTTACCGTTTAATTGGGTTTTGTTGAGTGTCACAAAGTAGGTACTTTGTGTAGATAACTGTTGCTTGTTGGGCAGGTATAATGAAGTCGAGTTGGGTGCAAGTTCTTAAACACTTATAAAATAAGTTCTCTAGTTCAAAATCTTGGTCTGATTTTGGACAATTTCTGTTTAGCTTGCACATTGGCACCAGTTGAAAGGGTGTTTTTGTAAATCAAACATGCTTGAATGTGTTGTAATGTCGCTGTATTCCTTTGATATTAAAACCACAAGTCTCAATTATATAAAACATGACATTATAAAAGTTTATTTTTTATAATTGTTTACCTTTAAAAAATAAACTGGGAAGCTTGAACACATTAAAATAGTCCTAAAACCACTAATTTTAGCACGTTATTTCCAAATTTTTCCCGGGGGGGAACCCCCAGACCCCCCTCCTTTGCTCCTGTTTGCTCTGTTTCCTCCTTCCCTCCTTGCTTGGGGGGTATTCCATACCCCCCAGGCCCCCGATGACCCCCCAAAATATATGTCTAGGACCGCCCTTGCTAGGGGATAAGCTTTAAATTGATACCAAACATGCCTATAAAAATAAATATTTAGGGGTCGATTTGCTGCACACAACATTCCAACAAATTCTTTATAGATGCTGGTAAATATTAAGAAACATGGCCTAGTCAACCTTTCAGTTATTTTTAGACTATTTTATAATCTTGTCCTCTAATTCGCCTGAGGATTAAATCGTATTTTGTTTGTAAATTGAGATTGTTCTGTCCCTAAGGTTATTGCGCTTTCAATAATATTCTTACAATATTATAAAAGCTGGAAGTAAGTAGTATTCAAGAACCTAGTCACGTATCTCGGAAGAACATGTTAGACACAAACTACTCTATGATTTGCCGTTTTGATGTCAGGTATTGTCTCAAATCCTCTTAAAATCACGTACAAATAAGTTTTAAACTTTGTTTTAATAAGATATTTTAATATTACAAAATACAAATAACTAAGGAAAGTATTTTCTGTAACAGGTAATGTATTCTAATAGCTATAAAACCAAATTTACAATATAACGACGTATCTTAAGTAAATAAATAGTAAAATGCTATGATTATTTATATAAAGGTGAAATCGTTCGAACTTTAGTAATAAATCTATATTAGTTCTTCATTATAGGCCAACCTCATGTGATACAAACTCTCTTGTAGAACAATTTTCTAATGGATTATGCTACTCATACAATAAAATTTTAATGTACGTTTAGATTCAGTAGATTTTTAGTACGTTTTAATGTTGACTTATTAATTTTGGCTATCTCACCTTCGTGAACACTAATGAAACAATATTAAACAACACTATTATTTACATGTTTTTCCTCTTTGGAAATTGTAAGTCAAGAGTAAAACAACATCGAAACATACTTTCGTCAAATTTATTTTACTTCACATCATACTAATCTTATCTTATCTTATCTTACTAATATTATAAATGTGAAAGTTTGTGTGTTTGTTTGTTTGTTTGTTTGTTTGAAGTTCAATCACGCGGATTGGGCTGAAATTTGGCATGATGATAGCTCACATTCCCTATTAACATATAGGCATATTCTTATCTCAAAAATTCTTTCGGGCTCCGCCCCAGTGGCTCTGTAGTTCCCCATGTTAACCTTATGAGTATTCATATTTAAAGGGAATTAAAGTATTTAGTCAGCTGTTTCAACTGAAAAAGTTGGTTCTATGATAAACAAAAGCATTAAAAAGTTATAAGATTTACCAACAGGTTGCAGCACTATTATTTTTTTTGCATTTATGAAAACAGCTAATTTGAACTAAGCAGCAGCAAAAAACTGTGATAAGCAATGAGAACTGTCAAAGTAGGATTGTTTACAGTTATATTTATTTTTTATTTCATGAATAATTTGTGATATTTAGCAATTTTTTTTATAATTTGTTTTTATCTATTGTTTAGGTGAAGTGGTAGAACATTATGACTATTGTAGATGTGCCATACTATAGTATACTGTAAATTTAAAGAAACAAATGTATCAAACTGTGTCCTCCCCCATTGCAAACGCAAAGCTTGAATATAACTGGAATAATCATTTTATACTTATATGCCAACCCCGTACGAAGGACGGGTATGACTGCTAGTATTATAAATGTGCAAGTTTGTGTGTTTGTTTGTTTATTTGTTTGTTTGTTCGAAGTTATCTCACGCATTAACTACTGGTCGGATTGTGTTGAAATTTGGTATGATGATAGCTCACACACCCGATTAACATATAGACATATTCTTACCTCAAAAATCCTTTCGGGCTCCGCCCCAGCGGCTCTAGAGTATCCCATGTTAACCTTATGAGAATTCATATTTAAAAGGAATAACATAATTTTGCCAGCTGTTTCAACTACACAATTTGTTTGTATGATATTCAATAGCATTTAAAAGGTTATACGGATTACCAACAGGATGTAGCACCATTAGTTCTTTATACATTTATGACAACAGCTAATTTGAACCAAGCAGCAACAAAAACCTAATTGTGAGAACTTTACTTCTTTCTATTGTTTAGGTGAAGTGGTCAAGTGGTTAGAACATTATGGCTATGGTATATGTTCTATATACTATAGTATACCGTAGATTATGGGAAACCAAATTTTCTCAAAACGTGTCCTCTCTCATTGCAAATGCAAAGCACGAGTAATTAACTACAATAAGCATTGTATACCAACCCCGTACGAAGGACGGGTACTCAGCTAGTAGTTCATAGTTCAAACATAACTAACTATACCTAAACCCTTATCAAAAAGGCCTTGAAATTTTAAAATAAGTTTACAAAACTATTTACGAGTATTTTTCAAAGCCTTAATACGTAGTTTCTGATGCAACATGAATTCAGACAGTTATAAAATATAAAATGGTGAGTATTTGTGTGGACTCTTTCATTATTGTGCTCGTGTTCACCCATCCAGTTACGCGCAGAATAAGCGTACTACTAGTTTGATAGTATCTACATGTAAGTGTTATTAAAACTAAGTCATACGTTAATAGTATACATCTATCTTCAATTATACTTCATGCGGTAGGGTTTTTTCATCATACTATCCGGAATACAGCCTATTTGGTTCTCTAAATCGTCCGCAAATTCATCGTTTTCGGGTAACTTCAACGGAACAGAAAAAATACGGTAAATTTTTCGGTTTGCTTACCTCAAAATTGTATAAGTGCATTATGAAAACGTTGCTAATCACACGATATTTAAATACATGTTTGTAAACAACAGGAATGTAAACACTGATGACGACTTTGTATAACCTCAAATGATGTGGTCTATTTTTTACGATTAGAAGTTTATTTCCACAGTATAACGAAAAATGGTAGTGTTCATCACACGGAGTGAAAGTTTCTTTTTGGTACTTAATCGTATTTCCAAGCGAGGCGCATTGCGAACCAAAAAGAGTAACTTTTTCGCTCCTAGTGATGAAATAGTATGTTTCACTACTAGTCACGAAAGTGACCCATTTCGTTGTGTGATGGGACTTTCGTGAAAGACTTTTGAACGATACTTTTCATCACGATGAAAACACTAGTTAGTAAAACTTAAAAAAAAAATGAAAAAGCTAACTTTGTTGATTTTAGTCAACGTATTGTTTGTGTAGCGAAAGTAATGTTCATGTCAGGAAAAGTCAGCTGATCACTTAGTGTATGGAAATTGACGATTTTCGAAGATCTCAGCTGTATGGAAATGGGTTATTTCCGAACACAGAGTGATGAAAACTACTATTCTGTTTTATCGGTTTTCAGCTGTTCAACTGAACTGATTTTTACGATTGAGGTGTCATTTAAGCTTATGACCTAGTGGAGCTTTTCTTTAAGTGTTATGTAAAATTTTTAAAACTAAATAAAATAATTGATTTGAAAAAAAATATAGTTCTATTATATTTACATTCAAACAGTACAGTGATTAAAATGGCATTTTCTCAATGGGTTATCATTTGTAGTAAGAAATACTTTACTCGCTGATATCAATGGAATGTGAATGTGTGAAATTTCACGTGGGCTTTAACTAAAATAAAATTTGTTGTGATCGATAATCAACGAATGTGAAATTCTAGTATAAGAATATTTTTGTGTGTTGAAAAAATTCTATGTTAAGGTAAATATTGTTTAGTAATTAATTCTGTAACAAATTTACAGTTATAACAATTTACAGTTTTTGGAATTTTCTCTGTAACCATTAGGCGTACAACAATGCTTGAATAGTTCGCTGCATAAAATAATTTGTTTTTAAAGCTCTACAAAATTGTATTGAGTGTAAAAAATGTAAAAATCAATTTTTACTCATAAAACTGTAAACCCACCCATAAAACTCCCTTACCATTGTATGTTGATTCTGGTTTGCGAACTCATTCAGATAAAGTGATGGTTTACAGTTGATTTTCATATCGAACTCATACTGTATACACTTTAATTTAAGCGGATGGTGTTTTTCTCCTCCGGGGGACATCCAAACCAAAAATTAATCGGCCCCACGGACTTTACTGTACAAGCTTCTTAAATGGGAAATATGCTAACAGATTGTTCATAAATACGTTTTTTTCAGATGCAACTCCGCTTCTTTGGCAGGCATGAATGGGGTGCCAAGAACCCGTTAAGAGCTCACCATGACAGGGCGCACACAAATTACGATTTGCAGATTCCTGTGAAATGTGTCATATTCGGATACACACAGAGCCAACCATGCTACGAAATTGAGCATTGCAAACAATGTATAAGGGATATACAGAAGAGAAATATGGAAAAATACCAGCTGCTTGATATAAGATACAAGTCAGTTGATTTTTGTTACAGTAGTAAAATCACGGCCACCTTTAACTCCAGGCCGCGGTGTTCGACGTGGCAACACTGTCAGTAGTGCTGTTTACAAAACGAATAACACGCGAAACGATAGGGCGTCACCTGTCTGCCATGTTAGCTTATTGGACGCCTGGCGCTAAGCAGCACTACTTGCGACGTTGCCAATTCTACCACGCCGCGGGCTGGAGATAAAGGTGGCCGTGAGTAAAATAGATAGTTCTGAACATAGTTAAATTGAAACGTTAGATTTTGCAATGGTTTAAACATACTCAAATATTAACCATATTGTTCAGTTGTAAAAGATTTTCAGTTTCTAATCGGCTTATGTACTTTGTAGGCTTTAGCGAATTTTCACATAAGGAATAAGCTATCACAGTAGGTTTCATGGTAAAACCTATACCCGGGACTGATTTACTAGCTCACTTTGAGGTCCCTTGAGGCCAAAAACACCTTCCGTTCAAATTCATATATATTTCGAATTTCACGTATATATGAACGTATGCACGAACCAGCAATTTAATTTTAATATTTCAGGAATTTAACATTAGGTATGTTTTTTTATTGACACATATATATGAATTTGAACGAAGGGTGTTTTTGGGCTCTGAGGACCTCAAAAAGAAAAAAGTAAATCGGCCCCGGGTCTAGGTTACCATGAGACCTACGGTAATAGCTTATTCCCTATATAGGAAATTCGCTGAAATGTAATAACATTGCCAATAAGGCGATTTCTTCTGTATCGTTAAGTACAAATCCTAATATTACTGAAAGCTTCGTATGTTTTAGTTTCCTAATTGACTACTTAGGAAACAAATATATTGGCAGAGGATGGAAAACGATGCCCAGTTTGCCTAAAAAATATCGACAATATCAGAGGAAGTCTTTATACGTTGGTTTAATCGGATTTTATAACGGTGAGTACCAGTATCTTTCCTATTTCACTTCAAAAATAGATCTTTTTTACTGATCTAGAACTATCATATTTATGTCAAGCTAAAGTAATGCAAAGTGACGAAATTTGATATTGGTTGTTCATTGTGTACATTTCATGTGATTTTCTGCAATCGATAATTTATTTTTTCAATACGTTAGGATAATTTACAATTTTGTAACTTGATTAATCGTCGAATACTCATTAAATGCGATTAAAATTGTCTTCAATCAATGTAAATACTGCTATAGTGTGGTTATAGTGTAAATAAACTCATCGCAGACCTTTGAGACTGTTGATTTAATATCTTCAATCAGATGTTAACTATATTAACAGGCCAATTCCTAACACCGTGAGTTTCTTATTATTTCTATGAAAAACAAACCATTATCAAATTTTATTCTAAGCCCCCCAAGGCTCTTTTGAGTTAACCCATTTTAAATATATTAATTATTATTTAAATAAAAACTGCAGGAGAATCTAAAATTTAATTTTAATTTATGACCATTCTTATTCTTTAATCTTTATAGTTTTAAGAATCGAAAAAAATATTAACGTTCTGAATAATATCATAGACAAATAGAATTGATTTGTCTATGATAATATTATGATTTTGGTAGCTGACTAAAACGAAGTAAAAAGAATATTTTTGATCTAAAAGACCCAATTGAGATTATACCGAATGGTAGTGCTTTAATTGTTTTTACAATAGTAAATAACTTATTTATTGTCTAATTTTCTCTAGTTTGCGTTCCAACCCCATTACAAATAGACAAGAGACAATATTTATTTCATAATTAAATAAATATATAACAAAATATATCACGTCTATGACTTTGCAAATATGAATATCACAGTCAATCAACTCAAACTAATAGGCCTTATATTCCAACCCTGTACGAAGGACGGGTACTCTGCTAGTACAAAACATAAGTAAAACTACAATTTACATTGTATCACTAATTGTTAAATTTTTAAATTTCTGTACAAACTATTTTATAATTGTTAAAAGTTTTTTTGTTTTATGAACATTTTCTTTTTAGCCCAATCACCACCTTCGCCAGAAATGTACAAGGCCAAGGAACAGCTGTTGAAAGCAGGTGTTCGAAAAGGAGAAATATCGCTGAAGTTCCTTGAATTTAACATTTAAATGTTTTTCTCTGAATGATAAATACTGTGTTTTGTACACCATGTTCTGTACACTGTGTTTTGTGCACTGTGTTGTGTACACTGTGTTTTGTACACCATGTTGTGTACACTGTGTTTTGTGCACTGTGTTGTGTACACTGTGTTTTGTACACCATGTTGTGTACACTGTGTTTTGTGCACTGTGTTGTGTACACTGTGTTTTGTACACCGTGTTGTGTACACTGTGTTTTGTGCACCGTGTTGTGTACACTGTGTTTTGTACAATGTGTCCCATTGACTCAACACTAATTAAACACTTGCAGGGTAAGTTAAGCTATCTCCGGAAGCAAAAATAGTGTTTGTCATGTATCATGGAACAATGTAATTATTGTATAAATTTTGCTTACCATAACCTGAAATTAATTCATCCTGATATTTATTTATTTCTTACGTTATTTAAATATATAGTTTTTTCATGTAAGTAATTTATCACTATCTTAAGGAAAAGATGAAGCCAATATCGATTTATTATGATTTATTTAAATAGAGAATTATAGTTGTTTGAATTATATTAAGCCTCTGGATTATGTGTATGTAGGCCTACAAAAAGAAAAAATAGTTTGATCTATCGCCATTTAATTTATTCACTCAATAAATAATAAAATGACTAAAATCAAAGATTTGTTCCTACAGTCACCCGACAAAGTTAGCTTCCTTGTACTGTTTATAGTACAGAAAGCTGCTAATTGCTGCATATTTATACTTTGCCGTACGGTTTATACTTTATCGTACGGTTTATACTTTGCCGCACATCAGGATTCCAACGAAACAACACAAAACAGCGTGGTTCTATTATGCACGTAATCCGTGTACGCTTGGAAATAGGTTGGCAACACTTAAAGATAACAATACTATGAGCAGCTGATTGACTGTTATAACTACGATTTAACCTGTCATTTCGTGTTTATAGTTTCGGTATTTCTAAACTTTCTGGACTTTTCTTTTAAACGTTTTAAAACATTCCTACGATCTTAATAAACAAGAAAATACCTTTAAAGCATTTTTTTAGGTGCGGAAACCACTTCAAATTACAAAAACATACGGAACTATATTCTCAAAACGCGGAGCACATTTCTTGCCGAGGAAAATTGCGGAGTGATACGGACCGGGTACTACTTTCTCTAGGGCACCTATTTGTGTTGCCAGCTGAACCTAAAAACGTGTTGTTTGTATAGTGTTTGAAAGACTAATTATTTATATGCTTTATAGTGACTGTAGGAAAAATATATTGTGTAACACGAGTGCAAAAGGCCTTTGCTGCACTCGAGATCTAACATAAAATTATCAATTATATATGTTTATTATCAAACATTGCTCTCGTGTGCAGCAAAGTGCCACTTTGCCCACTAGTTACACAAATAATTATTTCATTCATTGTAGCATAAAAAACTGTTTTTTCTCCATTCCACCTTCCCCCGCTCTGGGGATTGCAAATATGGACAAATTATTAATCAACAACTCTACTTTGGTTCTACTTATTTAAATTTGTTTCTTGATGACCAAGAGTATTTAAGCTCACTCACCTTTCAATTTGTTCAATCTTCGTCTGGGCCTGATAATAACTGGTGCGATTGGTTAAAAAAACAATTCACATTTTAATATCTTTCATACAATATATTTACCACCCTATATATATTTTCAGTATAACAGTGAATATATCGAATAATGCTAGAGCAAATTATTAATGTCGTTCTAGCTAATTAGGAAGTTATTAAACAAACAAAGTGCCATGCGTTTAATGTATAGTCAAGAAAAATTCAACAAAAACCTTCTTTACAACAACACAGTTTTGTTTTCGCCTCAACAACACGTGTGATGAGCATGTTTCGTTAGCCACATGAAACGATGTTTATTGGTTGTCATGGCAACAATAATTAAACACTACGGCTACACGTGCAACTATGTCATCGCCCTTTGAAAACTGTACAAAACACTGAAAGTGATTACTACATTTTACCAATCAAACGTTCCAAATAAATAAATGTATGTTGATGTTCCTGTAATGTAAACTTGCACAGTAATATAAATACAGTTTGTTTATTTTACAAGAGCAAAACTTTGATTTCGCGTATTTTTCTAGTATTATTTCCAATAAAATCATTCTTTAGTTTTCAACTACTATATTTATTTATTGCAACGTTTTGTTATTAGTGAAATTCCTGTAGTATTTTTAAAACGATCTTATAAATTGTGGGCCTACATCTTATAAATATGTTATTGGAAACGACTGGCTGGGTAGCTGAGGGGTTATAGTGCTAGCCTTACTTTCAAAAAGTTACCGGTTCGATCCTGATAAAAGTCAGTAGCTTTTTGATGGTTTGAAACTGGACCCAGCTGTTCCTGATCATTGGGCTTTGGATAAATGATCCTGGCTAATGAAACAGCTGATTTTAGTCAAAAACAAAGCTACAAGAATCATCAACACTTCATTCTACACTCATCTTTCTCTCTTTGGGTTAAAATACGCACCTAGGCGTTCCCATTTCAATTGGTAATATTAATAATTAATTTTGTAATCACACCCCAATGCTGAACCATATCATCTAGAGTTGGTGAATTATTGGACTCTTCAGCCAGATTTTAAAATTTTGTTTATAAATTAGTAGATTAAAACATAGAAATGCACGTACAGGTAGGAAAGCACTGAGAACCCATGCTAATTTGTAGCTTGAATTTACTGTATGTAACGTTAAGCAAAAATCAAACACCAACGAATAGAAAAATACGCAATTTTAACACAACCAACTGTAAAATATGTTTTTATGGAAGCAAGACACGAATTTTAAAAGGAGACAAGGAAGTTTTGGGACTGAATTATGTGTAAGCAATGCATACACTTACTATATATAGGTTGCATAAGCCTAACATTCGCTATCGGTTGTTATCAGCAAGCAACAACGTGGTCCAGGCCCCCAGAGGCCTGCATTGATTATACACATTTGCTATCAGATAATTATGTGGTACAAGATTTATCTTAGCTATTAGATAAAAATAAAGGGTTGCACCTAACTTAACTGTAATTTTTATTAATTCGTTTAATTTCCAAATACATCATAAACTGAGAAAATCAAAACGCAAACAGCATTGTTTTGTCAAAGCACACTAGGTACAGCTTACATTTATTTGACACAGGAGGGGTTTTCACATATCAGGCTAGACCTAGAAGTTGCAGAATTGGGTGATTTGGTAGGATTTGAACCCAGGAGTTTATGAACTGAAGTCTCGCGCTCTACCACTCCACCATCTCACTCGCACCAGACACAATCAATCAATCATAACAATAAAGTAATATCTGCGGATATAACAATTCTTTCCCTTCAGCCTGTCTTTTTTTAATCCTCTTAATGTGTCTTACCACTTGGTCAAGAAAATAAAATCACCTATTTGTTTTTCAACTTGTTATGTTTCTTATTTGAATTAACAGAGTAATTTCTCACTAACACTCCTTTCCCTATGGTCAAGTGTGTTTGAAACAGATATACAATTTTGTTATAGTATGTTATAGAAAGTTGTTATAAGCTGTGTATGAATTTAGTATGTTTAAATCAATGTGTTATCAGTCTAATGTAATGTAATTTTGAACAGCTGTATGTGGGGAAAATACATTTAAGAAACATAATAGTGGTAATAGTCCAGTCAAGGAATGAGGTGTAGAGTGCGTGAGCAGGTAACTAAGCGATTCCTTCAGAAACTTGTTCAGGGAGCTTAGGGTGTTAACATACCAAAAGTCCTGACTCCTAGGTGGTGAGCCAGGTGGTGGAGGGGGGAAAAAGGGGGGGAGAAATGTACGCATTTTGGGTTTTTTGATTATATTTCGAAAACTATCAACTTTTTGTATACTATAGTAAATTATAAAATTGAAGAAGATTAAATTTTCTACAAGAAAAGTATATAATGTGTTTATTTTGGTTCAACAGATTACGAGTTATAACTTATTTAATTGATATCTTATTAAAATACTCCTTCCATAAGAAATACATGTAAATTAGTATGCGAAATGGGGCGAATCCTATCCGCCCAAAGGAAATATAAATGATATTCTGGAAATCTTGACAAAATTTCCAGTAATTTGACACTTTAATCATTAAAATTGATCCAAAATTAAGGCGAGGGCGAGCTAACAAAATGTCGAGTTTTGGCGTTTTTTTATTGGAAATATAAAAAAAACCTTAAATCATCCCATTTTTAAACGCTCACCCTGGCTTTAATTTTTGACAAAATTTCATGATTAAAGTGTCAAATTACTGGAAATTTTGTCAAGATTTCCAGAATATCAGTTATATTTCCTTTGGGCGGATAGGATTCGCCCCATTTCGCATACTAATTTACATGTATTTCTTATGGAAGGAGTATTTTAATAAGATATCAATTAAATAAGTTATAACTCGTAATCTGTTGAACCAAAATAAACACATTATATACTTTTCTTGTAGAAAATTTAATCTTCTTCAATTTTATAATTTACTATAGTATACAAAAAGTTGATAGTTTTCGAGATATAATCAAAAAACCCAAAATGCGTACCTTTCCCCCCCCTTTTTCCCCCCTCAACCCCCTGGCTCACCACCTAGGAGTCAGGACTTTTGGTATGTTAACACCCTAAGCCCCCTGAACAAGTTTCTGAAGGAATCGCTTAGTTACCTGCTCACGCACTCTACACCTACTTTTGGATCATTCATTGACTGGACTATAAGTAGTGTTAGGTTTTAAATTTAACAGTGGCCATTTATCAATCTAATTTTAATCAAATTGACTAAAATTTCATGTCGAAGCCTACTTTACTATTGCAATATAAAATGCCATCCACGGGTTTTGACTAAACATTGCCATTAAACATTACTCTTTGGGTTTACATAGGATCCAATAACAAACTTATTGACTTTTAATTCTCTTGCCAAAAACGTTCTTAGAACAAGGTCAAATTGTGTGGAAAGTCTCTATTTTTTTATTCATAGTTTTACTTCATAAAACATTTTACAAAGTTTCACTGTCTTTCTAACAAGGTAAAGTTTGATTGTTAGTAAGTG